TGTATGTCATGAACATCACCTGAGTTTTGAAAAAGTGTTATCTGTCTCTCCCATTATTGAAACTATCTCTAAAATTATCTCCTTGGATTTAGTCTTGCCCCACCCTCCATCTACTCTGTACACTCAAGTCAGAGTGGAAAGGTAGAAAAATGTCATTCTGGGAAGGGCCTTTTACACCATGTCAAGGAGTTTAGACTTTGCCTTAAGAGCAATGGGAAGCGCTCTCTCTCTCTCTCTCTCTCTCTCTCTCTCTCTCTCTCTCTCACACACACACACAGACTTTATTCTTCCAATCTCAGCTTGAATGTTTTTCTTCCCTTTGGAAGCCTTCTCCTATCCTTACTTCTCCTTTACTTCAACTGTATTGTGTGCTTACATTAAGGTAAGGACCATATCCTTGCCTTTTACCTTCGTAGAAACCAAATTGGAGCCTGATCCCATATAGCAATTCTTGTGTACTCATATTCTTATACCTTGGGGCTTGATCAAGTTAGGTCACAAAAAAAAAAAAAGAAAGAAAAAAAGTTACAATGTTTGGCTCATTTTTGGCTTCCCTGGGATGAAATTCAGATATCTTAAAATTATAAAAATGTATTCTCTTCCACAAACGTTGAACTGTGGTAGAATTGTCAGCATCCTCCTTGCTGAGAGGATTATTTTTTCCCACAAGTAAACTAAAAGGGCTGATGTTTAGTCTGAGTCTAGCCTAAGATGTGCAAAGGAGCAGACAGTCCAGGCTGTTGTGAGCTGGCCAAGGTGAAAAGCTTCGGTCTGCAGCTTTCCCACCGTGCACACTTCTGACGGAAGCTTCTTCCACCTGGCTGTTGTGCTTCCTCCTTTCATCTTAGGCCTAGTTCTCTTTCCCTCTTCAGTGTGTCCAACTAGAGCCAGCTTGTCCTGTGAGGACAGTTTCCAGCTCACTTCATGCTATAAAGCAGGATTCTGCAAACCCAGCTGGCCATGCCCTTCACTGTCATGCCATCTAAAACATAAGTATGACATTTACTAATTATTTCATTGCTTTTCCTATAAAAATAAAATGGACACAAATCACAATTTGAATGTTTTAACGTTGTCCTCATACTTAAATTATTTAGATATAGGACCACATAGACATGGTTTAGGTACAGAACAGTATGCTTAACCATATGACAGACAGAAGTGGTATAGAAATTTGGGAGAGAGAAATGGATGCTTTAGCATCTTGGAGGGCTTCACTGAGGTAGTGGGACTTTAGCTGGGTATTTAGAGTGGAATCATTTCCATGTGACTGCTTTAATTTTCATTAACAAACATTATCTGGAGACTCCAGTATTTGCCAGGCACTGTGCTACATGCTAAGGGTATAAAGGTAAATAAGACAAGAACCCTGACTTCCTGAAGTTATTAGCCTAATGATTAAGGCTGATTCATAAACAAAAAATATTAATTCATGATACTTAATATCTTAATTTTATCAGAATAATTACATTTGTTTCAATTGTTCTCTAAATTCTAATTTTAACATCCATTTTGGAATGGTTCTCAGTGATCATTCATTGTTCTGTCTCACAATAAAACCATTTCTCTTTGGCTCTAAAATCATCTAGCAAATAAAGAGAATTTTTCTCTGGGCCTCCACCTTTTCACAGTTAGCATCAAAAACCTTGATGCTTTTAGTCATTTCATTCTGCTGCCTAAATGCTCTCCATCCTCATCCTGTTTTCCAAAAGTCCCTTTAGCCATTACATTGCCTTGCTTCCTTCTGTATATACACACATGTGTGTGTGTGCACACACACACACACCGCAGAAAAGAGGGGCCTTTTGGGCCAGGAATTTAGCTCAGTGGCACTTCTGCCTCTCACTTGCCTCACAAGCTCAAGATCCTGAGTTCGATCCCTGGTACCAGGGTGTGGGGGAGACCCTTCTGGTTTCCCATTCTTTGAGGGTACTGTTAGTCCATAATCCAAATTTTAATCAAATGGTAAACATTGGCCACTTCTTAAGCTGTTTCTCTGTTTAAAGGGATCAAGTGCTTTTAAGTGCTTTAAAAATATAGCTTATTAGGGAGGGGGATTTAGCTCAGTGGTTTCTCCGCCTGCTGTGCAAGCGCAAGGACCCAAGTTCAATCCCCAGTACCAAAAACAACAACAAAAATATATAGCTTATCCCAACATACAGTGGTACATTGGAACCCCTGGAATTATTACCCGTGTGAGTCAAAACTCAGATATGTGCAAGTGTTCAGAAAGAAATAAATTTCTGATATTTTTTCTCCTAAAATCCAAAGAACCCAGTGATATTTTAAACTCAACTTTGACTTGTGTATGATGAAAACATTGTATTGGAAATGGAGTTATGAGATTTTTATTACAGTAAAAATAAAAAGCTTACTATCTTAACCTAAGTGTACAATTTCTAAGTGTATAGTCTTATAGTAAAAACATACATATTGTACAACTAATTTCCAGAACTTTTTCATCTTGAAAAACTGAAACCCCACACACATTAAACAATTCCCATTGTCCTCCATCCAGCACCTGGCAACCACCATTCTACTTTCTGTCTTTGAGTTTGACTACTCCAGATACCTCATTAGTAGAATCATACATTTTTTGTCTTTTCATGACTGACTTATTTCACTTAATGTCCTCGAGGTTCATCCATGTTCTAGCATGTTTGGAGTTGAATATTATGCTGTATGTGTATATGTCTTTGTTTATCCATTCTCTTGACTATTGTTTATCCATTCTCAGGCATGTAAATATCTCTTTAAAATCCTGTTTTCCTGTTGCCATCTCTATGCACTCTTATGGAATATAGAAAATAGGAATGTATTTAATAAAATCAAACATGATTTAAAAATCTGCAAGCAATATTAGTTGTTGAAGTTTTTCTGTTTTTGTTTTTGTTGGGTTTGTCTGTTGTTTTATAGTCCTAGAGATTGAACCCAAGGCCTTAACACTGAGCTGCATCCCCAGTCCTTTTGATTTTTTTTCTTTTTTGGGGGGGGGGGGTACCGGAGATCGAACTCGGGTCCTTTGGTGAAACCACTGAGCTAAATTCCCAGCCCCTCCTTTTGATTTTTTAAGACAGAGTCTCGCTAACTCCCTAAATTGCCCAGGCTGGGCTCCAATTTGCAGTCCTCTTGCCTTAGCCCCCAGAGTGCTGGGATTCCAGGCATGCGCCACCACACCCAGTTGGTTGTTGTTGTTGTTTTTCTCCTTGTAAACTTTTAATTCTTCCCTTTTAATTTTACTCTAGCCTTTTCTTTGGTTTCAAAAGTACAAGTGCCAGGAAAGGGCCTTCATTCTAACTCTATCCCTCTCAAAAAGTGTCCCTTTCCCTCGTAAACAGCTCTCTAACACATGAACACAAAAGGATGGTCCCTTACCACATACCCAACAAGAACGACTTGAAGAAAGGTGAGTGTTGTACCAGGCCCTCCAAGAACCACAGGAACTATTTTATTTACCTCTAGAGGTGGTGGGTAATATGAAACACTCAGGCACAGGAGAGTGTCAGTCAAACCTACTTCCATAAGGAACCCATTCTAGGCCTAGAATCCATTCTCTCTCAGATACAGTACTTGGTGTAAAGCCAGTATCATTTCTTCCCAACTCTCATCCACTATAATTTTATGATATGTTTTAGTCTCAAGTCAACTTGGCCTATTAGAATTTATTTGTAGTTTGAGGACATAGATGAGTTCTGTATCAGCAGGTATGAGGCTTATAAAACCTGACATTAACTAACAGGAAACTGACATTGACAAAAGGCTTGACGAGCAAAGCTCTTCCTAATTTATTGGTTTCATAAGGAGTCTTGAAGTCCATGCAAGGAAAGGGTAAATGCAGCTGCCCTCTCTCTAACATAGGATTTTTCCCAACTGTCCCTCTAAGAGACTTTTTTAACAGTGATTTCTTCTGTTGCCTCAAAGATATTCGGTATGTTGGAGTCAATCAGAGATGAATATGTACTAGATTATTCCATTAGTCAGGTCACACTGGAGCAGATATTCCTGAGGTTTGCCCAAACAGACATGAAAAAATAAAAACAGAAGTATAATTTTAATTATAATTTTTATTATAATTTTCATTATAACTGAAGAGTGGTTCCAACCACCTCTCATACCTGCTCACCAGCCTGTAATCTGTGACATATCTGTGTGTGTGTGTGTGTGTGTGTGTTTATGCCTTGATATATACACACATGTATATAATAATGTGCTCCCTGGGAATAAAATATTTTCAAGACATTTTCTTCAGGTGTATGGAAGATAGAAAAAGAGAAACAAGTGTTCTGGGACCTTTCAATAACATCTCTGTAATTTTATCATAGAGCTAGATTAGCTGACAGGAAGAGAAAAAAAAATGAGTTCTGAGGGACAAATACAGCTAATTATCCAAGTCTCTTTTATGCTGGACAGCAATCAGAAGTTCAGCATAAGAGCAGGCCATTGCTCACCAAATAGAGAAGAAGTTCTTAAACTCATTAAAAAAGCAATGATGGACCCACTCCCAAAGGCTGATGCAGTGGAATGGCAGTGGGGCCCAGACATCTGCATTTTTCACAAGTACCAGGTGACTACAATGCAGATAGTAGTACAAAGAGACCAAAAGTTAAGAAGCATTCCAGTGATGTCTACCTGCTTTCCCTAGGGAACTTGGTAACATGCAGATGCCCTGGCCTCAACTCATAGTCAATGAATAAAGACCAAGGCATCTTCTATAGTAAGATCTCCAGAAAATTTTGATGAATCATTGTCTTACAGTTGGAGTAACCATCTGCCTCACTGTTCAGCAACTTCACTAAGGTGTAGTTTATACATCATATAGTTCACGTTTTAAAAATACAATTCAATGACTTCTAGCAAATTTGCCAAGTTGTGCAGTTATTACTACAGACCAGTTTTAGAATACTCCATCACCCCAGTAAAATCGCTAGTGTCCATTTACAATTAGTACCCGTCCACACTCTCACAGTCCCTAACAGCCACTCATCTTTCTGTCTCTATAGATTTGCCTTTCCTGGAATTTCATACAAATGGAATCATGTGGATTTTTGTGTCAGGATCCTGTCACTTTACATAATATTCACGAGGTTGGTACTAGTTTCCTATTGTTGCTATAACAACCACAGACTTAGTGGTTTAAAACAACATAAAATTGTCAGAGATTTCTGGAAGTCAGAAGTACAAAACAGAACTTACCAGGCCAAAACTTGAAATATCAACAGAGCTGTGTCCCTTCAGGAGGCTTGAGAGGAAAACCCATTGTTTTTCCAGCTTCTGGGGCCTACCTTGGCTTGTCATTGCACCAGTCTGCCCTTTTGTTGTACATCCTGTAAGAATTTTTGTGATTATGTTGGGTCCATCCAGGTAATCTTTCCCCATCTTCAGAGTTTTAACTTCATCACATCTGTACAGTCCCTTTCCCCTGCAACATACTTCGTTCATAGATGCCAGAAACAAGGATATGGATTTCTTTGGATCCATTATTCTCCCCATACAAAGTTTATCCATGTTGTAGCATGTATCAGTATTTTTTTCTTTTTAAAAATTCCTACCTACATTTTGATAATTCTCTTCTATAGATAACAGTACATTTTGTTTACCCACTCACCAGTTTAGGTTGTTTGCACATTTTAGCTATTGTAAATAATGCTACTGTGAACATTCACATGCAAACCTTTGGGTAGACATATGCCCTCATTTCTCTTGAGTATATGTCTAAGAGTGGGACTTCTGGGCCACATGGTTTCCGCTTATTTTACCCTAATTACTGGTGGTTCTCCCCCTTTATTCTCAAAACTTCCCCAGTTCAGATAATAAATTATATAATCACCCTAGTTACAAAAAAATCAAAGGCAGATATTTTTTAAAATGCAGATATTAAAAAAAACTAAATGAAAAGAAAAAGATAAAAGTATTGTAGGATGAAGGATAAAAAAGGAATGAAAGTAACAGCCAAGTTCAGCACTTAAATATTCCTAGACGTCTGTGAAATTCCTTCATTGGACAGACAGAAGGGAAGGAAAGGGTTGTGAAGAGCTGGTAGGTACAAGGAAGAGTAAGCAGAATCCAAAATCTAAAATGAATTCACCAAATGCAGGCAGAGGGTTGTAAATTGTGAAACTAAAAATTACTGCAAGTTTTGTGTTCCGTTTCTATACTGCTTTTGTGTGTAAGCAAGCAAGAATTTCAGAGTTTGCACTTCCGATAAGTCCTCCAGGTGAGGCCAGCTGTTCCCTAAGCATTACTTGATAGAATCACCTACGGGCATTTATTTAAAATGCAGCTTCCTGGATTCCCAACTCTAGAGTTTCTGACTAAATCAAGTATAGTGCGGAACTCAAGAATCTTCACTTTAACAAGTACCCACATAATTTGGATGAAAGTGTCTTGTTTGGCTTTGGGAGGGGAAAAAATGGGCTAGCCCTACCAGGAAAGTCTCATTAATGAGTGTTTAAAGGGACTAAGAGGTGTTAAGAGGATCCAGGCATGGTGGCACAGCCCTGTAATCCCAGCACTTAGGAGGATGAGGTAGGAAGATCTTGAGTTCCAGACCAGTCTGGGGTACATTGCAGACCTTGTCTCAAAACAACAACAAAAGATGATATGTAGAACTTTTTCCTGACAGTACAAAATATAGTAGCAGTGTATCTTCAGTCATGGAGCCATTCAAACAAACTATCAACAGATCAATAAACATATTTTTTCTTCATTTATGTCCTAAACTTACCAGTGTCAAGATCTTGTCAAAATAGCTTTTGAGGGCTGGGGATTTAGCTCAGTGGTTTTGCCACCCACTGAGCAAGTGCAAGGACCCAAGTTCGATCCCCAGTACCAGAAAAAAAAAAAAAGCTTTTGCTACTTGAGTCTTAAAATACTTAAAAAGAAGACAAACTAGTCTAACTTGAAATTTTTAGGTTTTATTGCTATCATGAAGTTCAATTGGACATTGTATGAACTAGAGCATGGTCACGTCCTAGACTAGTCCAAATGTTCATTCTGAATAAAGCACCAAAATCCCTCCCTTTGTCTTTGCAGTGTTATGGTACAAGTGATCTCACTTGGCTTCTCCCCTTCATATCTGACATCAAGCAATGAAGTACATATAAAACTCACTTAGATCCTACATAGAACCAAGAGAAAAGTGAAGAGACATTTTTTATGCTCAAGTGGAAATATTCACGTTCAAGAGAAAATAGAATAAATATATACTAAGGCTGCTCTGACGTCAGACTTTGGTCACTTCATCAAGGTGTCAAAAACAACCTGCCATTATGATTGAAGTCATCTTAAACATTTGTAAGTCATAGTTCCCTTCATTAAGGAGCTTAAAGTCAAAGAAAGAAAAAACTTTGTTTATGCTTGAAATTGGGCAATAGGTAAACGGGAGTTGATTAAATTTGTTTGTGTCTGAAAATTCTGACAGTGTTTTATTTAATAAAGATAAAATATAAATGCAAATTACCAATGTAAGTCAGTAAAGTTCAGAAAAAGAAGAAAAAATCTCCAGTCTACAGTAGCCAGAGAAGATTTCATCAGTGGTAGTATTTGGGTAAGATTCTGAGACAAATGGAGAAGGAAATGCTAAGGTCAAAATTATGCATTTGGAAAGAGGCAAGATTAATGCCTCTGACCCTAAAATGGTAAGGTAATGTTGTTCCCAAGTACAAAGTCAGGCCACTCTCCTATGGCCTGTTCCCCCACCACCACCACCACCTCATTTCTTTTCATCACCCACACCCACCATGCATACACCTACTAACCCACCCCATCCCATCTGGGTCCAACTGAACTCATTAATAAAACTAACAATTAGAGCTTTGTAAAAATGCACTCATCTGCTCTTCCAGGCCTGCTCTCTTACTATCTATCTGCTTGTTTCATCTTCCAAGGCTTTCAGTATCTCCAATGCAGAAACAATTTCAAGGATTCTCTTGTCTTCTGGAATAAAATACTCCAGCTGTGGTGTAATGGCAAACAGAAAATACCGACAGGCACCCAGGACTTGGAGGCAGAAAGCAAACTTTATTTACGTCGATGGGCCTGTTTGGGATAACTCCTCAGAGAACCAGGCACTGTCTTTCTGTCTGTCTACAGTTGATATAGGATTTGCAAGCAGGAACTAGTACAGAAGCAGAACAGGCAGTTGATTGGTTACATATATAATATCATTATTACTAATTGGTCTATAGCAAGGCGAAACTCAGGGTAAGAAACTTATTTGGAGTATGCATCCGTTCAGTTTAGGGTCTGCCAAAGAGGAGCGAATAAGAAAGACACATACTTAGAATGGGCATCATATAGAGTATATTACATTCCAGAATGTGTTCAAGCCCTGGGCAGAGATAGGGAATTATGCTCTTGGTAGTACTAACAGGATGCATGGGGAGTTATGTGCCTGGCAACGCTAGCAAGAAAATATGTGTTTACAATAATCATTCACTACAGACCACAAGGCCATGGAGTTTTTAAGTCTATTTTCAGCTTAACCCATACCGCACTTTTCAGTGGCAGAAGCCTCCACCTGGGCAGCAGTCATGAAGTTGGGGAGGGCAAAGCAGGAGGTGAATGTGGTAAATGTGTCCACAAGATGGCACTCCTACTTTGTAGTGGAAAGCTTCCTAGGAAATTTTGCAAATTTAACTAGATAAAGTTAAGATTTTGATTTATCTAGCTGATATCATGCTCTATTCTGTTTCAAATCCTACCATCTTTGGAATAAAGTCCCCCCCCCTTTTTTGGTAATGGGGATCAAACTCAGGTCCGTGCACTTGCTCAGCAGGCGGCGAAACCACTGAGCTAAATGCCCGGCCCCAAAGTTTTCCTCTTTAGGTTATGAGTCAGTTATTGTAGGAGACATCCCTGCTCTTGAGTGGCACCTGCCTCTTGCTGTCCGTAATTCGGCTCTATTGTTTTATATCAGGAGTCAGACTGCAGCTCTTCGTGACTCAGATGGGCGTGTCAGATGGCGGACTGGGCGAGTACAGCTCCTCCCTCAATGGCTGCCACGGAAACCTAGAACCTGGTCTGTGAAGTGCAGGGCTCTGCTGAGTAACACGCACCTGAGGTCCGCGTAACCCCATTAAAATCCTTTCCTCTGAATTATGGCTTCTCACTGACCCGATGGGTTGCTTGCTAATTGCACCCGGACCCAGTACCAGTCTGTTCTATCCAAGCTAGATAAACAGTGCTTCCTCCCTAACAGCCCTGTCTGGTGCCATCATGCCAGGTGTTCACTAGGCAGTATCTCACTAGATGCCTTCAAAGCACACCTGGGTCTCTATCCCTCCCCACGATTGTATTCAATCAATAGTGGATGCGCTTGGGCACCTTTGTCTTCGTTGCCATCAGCAGCATTGATCAGGTCCCAAGACCCAACTTCTTTGCTCTAGGTCTCATTTCCCATCTGTTCTTTAATCGCCTTGTGCTGTGGTGGCTTACAGGGCAGGACCCATAGCAGAGGTCCTGGTAACGTCCCCTTCCCCATTCCCTACAAGTTATGTTTTGATTTGTGGATGTTACAACCTAAGAATAAAGGGACATTTTAAATAGGTGAAGGTCTCTAAACATAGGAAAGGTTGTGCACATACAGGGATGTGTGTGTTGGTCCCACTTGACCTGAACTGTTGGATGACGAAGTTCCAATGACTGGACTCTTAGGGGTCCAGAAGTTGGGAGGGAGGAGTTTAAAAGTACTAGAGGTAGCAGGGCATGGTGCACATCAACAATCCTGGGAGGCCTAGACCAGAGGATGGCAAGTTAAGAGACCAGCCTGGACAACTTAGTGACTTAGCTATCCTCTGTCTCAAAATTTTAAAAGAGCTGGGTTCAATCCCTAGTATGGGAAGCAAGGGGGAGATCCTAGACAGAGCTTTGTATAACATATTAACAAATTTGAACTTTATCCTGAAAAACATGGATAAGACACTGAAGTTGGCAAGAACCAGAGCAGTGTGCCCCAAATTTTGTTCACTGGATAGCACATTCATGATTTGTGCCATACCTCCATATCATCAATAGTTACTTAACCTTTTTTAAGTCAACACATTTTAGTAAACGCATTTAAAGAGGAATTCATTTACTAGGATTGCTTACCATAATAAAAAAAATGTAGTCATTAAAATGGAACGTTTATTCATGTACCAATTTATAATCGTCTCATGCATCACTAGAGTAAGTCTACCACATCGGGGAAACTACTGTGCAGTATGGATTGGGGAAACGGGGGTGGCTGAAGGCCCAGAAATTGGGTTGGCGCAGGTTATTGACTACATCCGCTTGTTAGTCTGAGGCAGTCGTAAACAGTTCACACACAAGCCAAAGAAGGCACAAGTTTGCCTGTGCCTTGTAATGTCTACACTACCGGCCTTTCGGAAACTTTAATATGCATACGAATCACATCAAGCCTTATAAAAACATAGATCCAGATCATATATGGGACTGGGAGATGCTGTACTGTACTTCCAACAAACTCGCGAAGATACTGATGTTTTCCAACGTGCCAATCAAAGCACAGGACTGTAAGTCCCGAGGGGCAGGGACCACACCTTCACCTTTAATTTGGTACTGTGCCAGGCACAGGTCACCTTAGGTAACACCCACAGTCAACTCTCTCTCTCCCATATCATCACATGACAACCTTTCTCAATATGCAGGTTTCCGCTCATTCGTCTCCTATTAAAAACACAAAAACTAGTTTTGGGTCTTGTTTTCTTTATAAGGCGAGCCTAGGATGCAAATCCCGAGAGCACAGACCTTCATGATGATCACCTCAGGTTGAGGACCGACGTTAAAGTGTCCCTGGCCTGTTTTAGGGGATACAAAGGCAACTAACGTCGCGCAAAGGCTCTTTCCTCACAGAACTAATGATCTAGCGAGGGGTTCAACAAGAAAGAAGCAATCGCCGAGCTCCATTGCCCAAGACCTCCGCAGAACGGAGGTTAGAAGAGATGAGTCCTAAAAGTAGCCGCTAGCAAGTAGCCGGAAGTCCAGAGAGGGCCGGGCTGTTTCATTGGACAATTCAGGTCGGGAAAGTCCAAAGTGGCGGGAGGAGTTCTGACGGGCTGTCAGACGTAATTCGAAAAGAGTTAACGAATGCATATTCAGCCAAGGAAAATAACTCCAAAGACGTAACCTAAATTATCTTCTGTATATTTTTATGAAATTATGTGTCTCCCTATCCTGCGTCTTGGAGGAGTTGGACTGGTCCACCCTCTCCAGGGAGCAGTAGAGCGCAGTCTGTATAGAGAGTCCTCCTTAGAATGGGGGCGTGGGAAAGTGCTTCGCTGGGGAAGCTGGGAAACTCCCGGCCTCCGCCACCATCTTGCTTTCCTTCAAGTCGGTGGCCGTGGGTCTGACTGTGGGTCAAAACAGTCTTGAGACATGAAGCTACTAACGAGAGCCGGGTCCTTCTCGGTGAGCACAGCTGGCGGGTTTGGGGAAGGTTTGGAGAGCAGTTTGTCAGCAAGGTGATGCAGCCCGGAAGTACCTGGTGTGGGGTCCCGGGCCTTGGGCTTCGGTTCGCCCTTCAGCTGAACCCAGCGGGCGAAGTGGGCTGCAGTCTGGGTTGGGGAGTGGAGGCTCTGCTCCCCTAGTGAGCAAGAGACCTAACTTCGAAAACTCCGAAGAGAGGAGAAGGGCTTGAGAGTGGAAACAAAGCGACTCTCTGAAGAGATTTTTGAAGGTCACTCGCGTGCCGGAGAAGGAGACCAAGAGAAAACAGGGTGCGGGAGGACAGCACAGACCCAGTCCCCCTGCCCTTTCTTTATCAGCTGCTGCCTTTGCTCTTGGTTTATCATGGAGCATCAGTTTCCCCAACGGTTAAGTGGGTTTATGAATAAAAGTGTAAGAAATAAGCTAATACAAAGGTAGCGCCTATCACAGTTCCTGGAACTGCATTCGTTGTTACTTACCATGGTGTTCTGGCAATAATATAACGTGTGCTTTTTCCATATTTCTTGTTAGAGGGATCCTCCATGAAGAGCCCTTGGTCTGTTCTCAAAAGCTGCGTACATAAGGTTCCCTCTCAAGCCCAAACTAAACATAGCTGACGCTTGGGGGGAGTACCTCAAGCATCAGTGTTTTATCACTGTGGAGCACTGATCATCAAGAGAGGAAAGGGGATTTTTTTTTTTTAATTTTCAGGAAGGGATAATTTGTGCCCAGTGAACAGTTAGCAAAGTCTAGAGACAGGTTTGTTTGTTAATTTAGGGAAGGTTCTAACTGCCATTTGGCAGCCAGAAGTGCTGCTAAACATTCTACATCGCTCAGAAACAGACCTCTATGACAATGAATTATCCAGCCCACGATGCCAATAGTACTCGGATTGAGAAACCCTGCTAGAGGGAAATGCAAAAGACCAGACATGAGAATGGAGTTTTCTTGTGCTTTATGTTTAAATGGGTACACTTGTGGATTTTACAGATTTAGGCTTTAATTGTATTCCAAGTATGCCTGGACAAAACAATGAGTAACCATCCCTTAAGGACAGCCCAGTTAGAAAGATAAACTCCCTTCCATTTTCCAGTAGAAAAAAGAGCTCAAAGATACCAGTTGGAGAGGATCAAAGTAAATAAACTGAAGTGAACTTGAAAGCAACTATTTGTTTCTAATTATAGCACTTGTCTTACATGAAAACAAATTTGTACATATTGTGTTATTTAAAATAATCAGCCAGATGTGGTAGCACCAGCCTATATCCTAGTTACTTGGAAGGCTGAAGCAGGTTTGAAAGTTTGAGGCCAGCCTTGACAACTTAGCAAGATCCTGTCTCAAAAAAAAAAAAAGGGCCAGGATGCAGCTTAGTAGTAGGATGCTTGCCTAGGTACATTCCCACTACTGCAAGAAAATAATAATCTAGTAATTCAGCTGTAAATAATCATCATCTAACAATTCCACTGCAAAAATAATGATGATCTAGTAATACTATAACAACTACTAGGATTATTCCTTCTTGATTTCCAAGGGGCAAATAAGCACATAACTAATAAGTGTCGTTATTCAGGTACATCTGAATGGAAAACAGCTACATCTTGCTTGGTAATGTAACTTTAAATATTTGTACTTGAACTATTATGACCATATATCATAAAATTTACTTTTCAGAAAACCAGAGGTCAAAATTCAAAATAGGACTACCTATTCTATACCCAGAAAACTAAACTGATAATAATAAAGCAGAGCTAATTATTATTTATAATTAAAAAGCAGTACCAAAGAGGGAAGAGAGTAATACTAAAAGCAGATGAAAACCAGCAGCCAAGTTCATGCATCACTGACGCTGAATGCACAGCAGACAGCCATTGGGACAGTACAGAGCAGAGGGATTGTAGATTCTGATGGGAGCCCACAGGGAAATTCCAGCAACATGTTAGGATCTTGGGACCACCAAATTTTTTTTACTCAGCATCTCCACTAGTAACCTTATGAATCTTAGTCATAGTCAGAATGACATGACACTGTATATCATTTGCCAGAAAAACTAGATAAAGTGAATGCATTGCATCCATTATCTGACGTTTAATAGGACCCTTTTATCCCACCTGTGACTGCATATTATATATTGAGAATCTGTTGTGAATGAGTCTATTGTTAATCTTAGGATGATAAAAATTTTTATTTAGTCAAAGAAGGGAAGACTTACGGCTATGGTTTTGCATCATTGAATCATCATCTTGTATCTTATTTCGTTGTATCTTCACAAGAGAGTGAAGAAAATAGAGGCTCAGAGGAAGTTGGTGTGCTTTGGCTTTTTAGAGATTGCTAAAATAATTGAAGACATGAATTCATTTCAACTGGAAAATAGACTAAAATGGTGAGACTCACTGGGAAGATTAGGGAAGCAGTAATGCTAAAATCTGTAAAAGGATGTTGATATGGCAGTCTGACATTTTTTCAAAGAATTCCAAAGCAGCACTAAAGGAACAATTTGAAACATTAGTAAGATGATTAAAAAGTAAGGAAAATAGTTATTCTTCATATAGTAAAAAGTGGTCATAAAGAACTCAGTACATGGGCCGAGGATTTAGCTCAGTGGTTTCGCCACCTGCTGCACAAGCGCAAGGACCCGAGTTCAATCCCCAGTACCAAAAAAACCTTAGTATACTCTAGCTGGGCATGGTGACACAAGCCTGTAATCTCCAAGAGGGGCTTGACAGGAACATTTTGAATTTAAGCTAACCTGGGCTACATAGCAAGTTCCAGGCCAGTCTAGGCTATAGAATGAGACCCTGTTGAGAGAGAGTGGGGAACACTTAGTATTCTCTATCAGTTACAAATAAATAAAAGCTGAAGAATGGCTTGGGTAAACTGGTCAGTTCATAAGTCTACAATATTACTTAGCAAAACCCTGTCATGGAGATTGTTATTGCTCTTTGTCACTCGACAACACGAAGATAAGTTATTTTTATATAAAGCAGTGTTCTTGTGAGAAATTTATGTAATCTGTCTTTTTTTGTGTCTAGAGATTTTATTCCCTCAAAGTTGCCCCCAAAGTTAAAGCCACAGCTGCCCCTGCAGGAGTGCCTCCACCTCCTCAGGACCTTGAGGTTAGTCCAGTGAATTTTTTACTGGAACCCATATATACCTTACTTTCCTTGGTAAGATAATAATCACATCTACTTTATTTTAAATACAGTTTACCAAATTACCAAATGGTTTGGTGATTGCATCTCTGGAAAACTATGCTCCTGTATCCACAATTGGTGTGTTCATTAAAGCAGGCAGTAGATACGAGGACTCCAACAATTTAGGAACCTCTCATTTGCTGCGTCTTGCATCCACTTTGGTAAGTATCTGTATTACCTCAGTGTTTGGAAATGCTGTGGTATCTTGGTCCTATGAAGAAGAAAAACTAAAAGCATTATCTCTTGTGTTAGCTCTCTGTCACTGTGACAAAATGACTGGGAAAATCAACTTAAAGGAGGAAAGATTTAGTTCACAGCTTCAGACCATAGTTGACTGGCCTCATTGCTTTTAGGTCCCATTGCTTTTAGGGCTGTTACTGTAAGGCAGTAACATCATGGTAGACTGGCATGGGGAAGGAAAACTCCTTACCTCATGGCAGCCAGGAAGCAAAGGAAGAGAGTGCCAGAGCCAAAAAAAAAGGGCCTGGAGGTCAAGATATCTCCAACATCCTACCCATCACCCACTCCCTTCAACTAGACTGTATCTCCTAAGTTTCCCTTACCTCTCAATAATACCATCAAAGTATGAATCCATTAAATCCACTAATGAAATTACAGCCCTCATGATCCAGTTACCTTCCAAAAAGTCCCTCTCTAAACATTGCTGCACTGGGGACCAAGACTTCAACACATGATTTGGGAAGATGTTGCAGAGCCAACCCATAACACCCTGTGTTAGTTTCTGTGAGCTGCCACACCAAATTGCCACAAACTGGATGCCTTAAACAGAAGGAATTTATCCTCAGTTTTAGAGGCTAAACATCAAAGTCAAGGTGTTTTATGATGAGTCAGGGTGTCACCGGTCCATGCTTCCCCTAAAGGCTCTAGAAAAGAACCCTTCCTTGTCTCTACCTAGCTTCTGGTGGTTTCCAGCAATCCTTTGCTTGCATCACCCCAGTCCCTGCTGCTGTTGTCATGTGTCCTTCTGTCTTCCCTGTACCCAGGTCACACTCCCTAAACTTACCAGGTTTAGGGCCCGCCCTAATTCAGTATAACTTCCCAAGTACAGCTGCAGAGACCTTCTTTCCAAATAGACATCCCTAGGTTCTGAATCGGTATTGGTTTTGGACATACTGTCCAACCCAATAAAATCCCCTAATATAAAATGAGAAAGCACAGTATTTGGTACACAGAACCATTGTATTTGTAGTCAGCTGAACGTTAGAGTTAGAACATAAAAAATCAGTAAAATTTTTAAAAACAAAGTGCCAAAAAAAGAAAAAAGTCTTCTTTCCTGTATCCAGTTCTCTTTCAGAAAAGAGTAAGGACTATAGTAAGCTTGTATCCAATGATAGAATTTTTTACATAAAAGTACTTC